TGTGCGTGTACCGTCAAATCAGATCTGACTGGTACAGGAGGAGATTGCGCCTCCTTCTTCGGCAGAGCGTCTGGTGGATTCGAACCGCATTCCTCTGGGATTGCTGTGCAGCTTCTTGCCACTAGGCCACCAGAGCTCCCCTTATTATTATTTTTTAAAGAAGCTATTTAGCTTTTAGAGATGGAAAGTACAAGGTTTCAAATGAAAATCACTCAAGATAATATTGTTATTGTTGATTGCCTTCAAGTCGAGCACAACTCATAGTGACCCTATGAACAAAAGGCTTAAAGCTCCTCTACAACTATCGACATTTATCAAAGTTCAGAGAGTTTCTGGAGGCATGTTACTTAGAAGTGGATGCCACTTCTGCTTTCAAAAGATAGTATTAGGAGGTACTTAAATGTGGAGACAAAGCAATTGATAAACTTGAGGTTGTAGTAGTAGAAACTTCAAAATAAATCCAGAGAGAGGAAAAAAAATTCTTTTTTTTAAAGATAAAAGATTCTTTATATGCTCATGGCTATATGTGTTTTTTCTTAAAACAGGCATAACAAGAGGAGGAAATTTTTCGTTGACCCTCGTTGCCACCCACAGACAATAGCTGTTGTCCAGACTCGAGCCAAGTAATGAATTCCACTGGGGTTTTGAACTTGGGTAACATGGTCTTCTGTACTGTCTCCCTGGAGCCAGGTGTTAAATGCTTGATTGCCAACCAAGAGGTTGGCGGTATGAACCTACCAGGCCCCAGGCCAGAGAAAGGTGTGGCATTTTGCTTCCATGAAGGCTCACAGACTTAGAATCCCTGGGGGGCAGGTCTGCTCTGTCCTCCAGGGTTGCTGTGTTGGAATCATCTGTTTTCTCTCACTCTGAATTTGACAGGGTCCAAATGGAGGAGAGAATTCACAGGGCTTTGATTACCCTTGTCCTTTATCAAGAGGTCATATTGCTTTTTTTCTGCTTGCAAAGCAGTCATTACAAATCTGAAAGTAATTTCACCAGTGCCTCAGAAAGTTTGAAAAACTGAGGGAGAAAAACAGAACCCTCACATAAAAATTTTATGTGCATCCTGCCAAGACAGATTACGGGAATCCACAAAATCCCTAGGCGTATGACGACAGGAAAAGCAAAAGGTTTGGATTAGTGCTTCCACCAGCTAAAACCAACACGGTGCCGACCCCCTTTGGGGTGGTGCGTTTGCCTTCTCTGAGGTGAAAGCTAGTCCGTCTTCCCTGCGCCCGCACCACCACTTTCCAGAGGGGTTTCTGATGCATAATTGCAGTGAGATTGTTTGGCCACCTAAGGAAGGTCTTTTTCATGGTCTTGAACTGCTGAGGTCGCTTTCATGGAAGACTGATTCCAGGTGGAAGAGGCCACCTCTGTGGCTTCAGGGTGGTCCTTCAGCCCCGGGTCTTCTCTGAGGAGCAGGTCCTGACTGAAAAGGGGGGGTGGTGGGTGGTAAGTGGGGAGAAGAGAGACAGAGAAGCTGAGCTGTTAGGATGTAGTGTTGACCTGAAGGGCTCTGTGTGGGAGAGGAAACTGCAGAGGCTTCAGGGGGGTGGGGAGACTGAATAGGGGGATAGAAAATCAATGGTAAAGAAAGAAACTCGAGGGGATTATCCACTTGTAAACCGGGAGCATATTTTCTTTTTCACGTGTCTTTCCAGATACATGGGGGTCGTGATTGAGCTGAAGTTACCCCACGAGATGGACTTTAGTGGCAAAGACATCAGCGGAGTCCTGTTCCAGTACCCTGACACCGAGGGGAAAGTGGAAGACTTCTCGGACCTCGTGGAGCGAGCCCATCAGAGCGGGGTACAGAAACTTCCTAACTGTTATTACATAGAATGATAAAACGCTTTCCTTCCTTTGAATTTGTTCTGTTCTCTGATTCCTAGCAAATGGTAAACTCACCAAACTCAACCCACTGTTGTTAAATCGATTCTGACTGAGTGACCCTGCAGGAAAGAGTAGAACTGCCATGTCGGGTCCCTGAGACCATAAATCTTCACAGAAGCACACTGCTCCACCTTTCCTCCAAGAAGTAGCTCATGGATTTGAACCACCAGCCTTTTGCATTGCAGCCCAATACTTGGTCTCCAGTGCTACCAGGGCTCCTAGCCCATGGTATTAAAAGCAGAGCTACCACTGTGAGTCGGAACTACCTCAGTGACGCTGACAGTAAATCTTTAGAGAGGGGACTGCCCAAGCTTTTCCTGAAGAGCAGCTGATGGATTTGAACTGCTGACCTTGTATACGTTATGCACGGGCTGCAAGCACATGGTAGACCCTTAGCACATGGTAAGTCTAGGACTCCTTAGCATGTGGTCCAGGGGTCCATGCACCTTAGCACAAGGTAGGTCCACGATAAATACCTGCTGAATGAATGAGTCGGTAGATGATATCACAGGATAATTGCCCAGCTCTGACCATCTGCCTTTGAGATCATCTTTCAACGTGGCCTCTGCTCTGAGCGGAAGGTAATCAACTGTCCATTTTCCTCTCATCTAATTTTCAGACTCTAGCCTGCTGTGCTACTGACCTTCTAGCCCTGTGTATTTTGAGGCCACCAGGAGAATTTGGGGTGGACATTGCCCTGGGAAACTCACAGAGATTTGGGGTACCCCTGGGCTATGGGGGACCCCATGCAGCCTTCTTTGCTGTCAGAGAAAACTTGGTGCGAATGATGCCTGGAAGAATGGTTGGGGTGACGAGGTAAGGCGACACGTGCTCTGCTTGTTGAAGAATGGGATTCTGGTGCCTCTGGGCACGGTGTTGATGTGCTTCACCTCTAGCAGGGCCAGGTCGGGTCCATAAAGGAAACATATAGCATAGATTTAGAAACGAGGTTCCGGGGTGCTCTGGTGGCCTAGTGGCAAAAAGCTGCACTGCAATCCCGAAGGCTCATGGTTTGAATCCACCAGATGCTCTGCTGGAGAAGGAGGTACAATCTCCTACTGTATCAATCAGATCCAGTTTGACAGTACACACACAAAAAATAATAAAATAAATTTTTAAAAAAATAATAAAGGAGATTCCATTTCAGTTATGAACTGCTATTGGTATTGTTAGCTGCTGATCAGTTGGTCCGCTTCATGGCAACTCCGTGTACAGCGAGAGGCTCCTAGGCCATCTCCACACTGCGGAATCCATTGTTGGCAGCCGCTGTATGTGCGGAATGCTTTCCCAGCCAGGAGCTCCTCCTCCAGCATGGGCCAGGTTCTGTTGTCGTCCTCAGGGCTTACCTGGCTAATTTTCAGAGGGAGATCATCATGCCCTTTCCCTAATATGTGTTCATTTAGAAGTGCCCCTGGAACCTGTCAACCATGATTTTGCAGAAATTTCAAATCCACTGGGTACAGCTTTCAGTCACCATGCTGGCAAAAGACAAAACCAAATTTGTTCAAGTTCTTACATTAGCTGCTGCTTCTAGTGATGCTCTTCACAGATGGGACAAGGCAGGAAGCGTTCTAATTAAATCAATTTGTTGATTAGTTATTGTGCATTGATTTTTATTCAAAGTATCTTACTTTTCTGTAAAATAGACCGTTTCAGCTTCTGGAAGTAAAGAGTGAAATGACATCCTTTAAGATTTTTTTTTTTAAGCAGCAGCAATTTTTTATTGAAGGACCTAAACTGAAACTTACAAAAATACAAATTTTAAGATTTAATAACATAAAGTAGCAAAATATATAGGGCTCATTAAAAAAAGTTCTCAGTCAGATTTTTCTTCAGAGTGTGTAAATTATTTTTTTTACCTTTAAAAAAATTTTTTTCTTAGCGAGCTCTGGTGGCCTAGTGGCAAGAAGCTGCACTGCAATCTTGGAGGTACATGGTTCAAATCTACCAGATGCTCTGCTGGAGAAGGAGGAATGATCTCCTCCTGTATCAGTAAGATCTGATTTGACAGTACACACACACAAAAAAAATTAAATTAAATAAAGAATTTAAAAAAAAATTTTCTTTTTATTTATATTCTCTAAAATATTTAAATGTATTTATATTAGAGACACATGCATTGTTAAAGAGCCTATGTACAACAGCCCTAAACCCTGCTCTGTCCTGTGCTAATCTTACTGTCTCTGACACACCTACCCCCGTTACCCCAGTCACTGAATCAATCCATCTCATGGAGGGTCTTCCCCTTCTGCGCCGCCCCTCCACCCTTCCAAGCATGATGTCCCTCTCCAAGGATCTGTCCCTCCTTACTTAACTTTATTTGCTGAGACAGTCTTTTGAAATTTGTTTCACATCATCATCAATTCTACTCTCTGTAGCTACTGTCCACTCAAGAGTAATTTCGGAGTCTAGTCTTATGTCCATTTTGGTCTTTTTAATGATCCAGCTTTTCAATCACCCTTTGCTTTTTTTCTTATATCTTTTCCTTGATGTCATAACCTTTGAGTTGAGGAAAAGAATGGTGAATATGCTATGGGATATTCATAAGGACAAACAGATCTGTCTTTGGAAAGGTGTAGCCAGTGTGCCCCTTCGAGGCAAAGAGAATGAAAGTTCACCTCACGTACTTCGGGCATTTTGTTAGGAGAGGCCAGTCCTTAGGAAGGACTTCATGCTTGGAAAGTGGAGGGTCAGAGAAGCAGGGGAAGACCCTCAACGAGATGTTGACACAGTGACTGTAACGGTGGACTTGAACACGTTGGAGATGATGGGGACAACACAGGGTTCAGATCCATTGTTGATAGGATCACTAGGGGTCATGGTCAACTTGATGATATGTAATAACAACAGTAATCCTTGATGTCACAATGTTCATTGTATCAAATCTATTCTTGGAATGTTTTTCTCCATTTAAGGCATCAAAGTACATATGATAGATGCACCCAAATACATATAAGACAGATGCTGTTTACAAACGAAATAGACACTGAAAAGAACTTGTCATGTTTAGGACAAGAGGCTGCAGGCCGCTGACCAGAATGTTGGTCTTTCACCCCCAGCCAGCAGTGTTAGAGAAGGAGATGTGAAGTCTGCTGTCATTAAGAGCACAGCCAGGCAAACTGAGGAGCAGTTCTGTTCTGGTCTCTGGATCAATAAGAGTTGATATCAATTCCGTAGTTTTGATGTTTAGACGAGGAAGATCTGGGAAATGTTTCCTATAACTTTGCAGTCAAGCAAACTTGCTGAATTCACTTCCATTTGGAAAGGAAGGAGGCAGGGTCAGTGTGACAATGCCTGGTCCTAACGGGATGCTTTCTCCTTGGTCCAGAGATGCCAGTGGGAAAGAAGTGTATCGCCTCGCTCTTCAAACCAGGGAGCAGCACATCCGGAGAGACAAGGCCACCAGCAACATCTGCACAGCGCAGGTTAGTGACGTTCCCAGTGACCTGGCCCATGGGAGCCTTACCAGCCACGGAACCACGTTCCTCCTGCAGTCATTCATTCACTCATGCACTCATTTGCCACTTTCCAGCGGTGAGCATACCAGAAACGGCAAGGTCTTGTGGTTGAGAAGCTCCATGAACTTGTCTGGTCAAAATGCAGTGTCTTCTACTGGTGTTCAGTGTTCACACACACACACACACACACACACACACACACACACTCCCTGTACATTCTTGGCCCCAGAAGTGTTTTCTTATAATGAAGGGAAAATATAAGTTCACATATTCCCCTAAAATTCTTCTATCTTTAGATCTTGAGTCAACCAAGAGACAAAGAAGTGACTCTCCTACTTTTAGAAATATTACAGTAAAATATATAAATGTATACTTTACCACTTAACAATCTGCAAGCTACTCAAAGGAGCACTGGTGGTGCAGTGGTTAAAGCACTGAGTTCAAGCAGAAAGGCCAAGCTGTGAAAAGCCACCATGCACACAGGGGAGCTTTGCAACAGTCTCTGCATAACGCTCTACAGCCTTGGAGCCTGTGGTGAGGTTTTTCTGTGTCTCAGAAGCGTGCAGAGCATCAGGGTCAGCTACACCACAGCGGGTTGTCTGCTGTTAACTGATGGTTTTAGCTCCTATTAAACTGTAGTTATTCACTTGAACTCGGTGATGTGCATTACATTCATAATGGTAAGCAACTATCACTGTCTTCTCTTTCCAAACAGGAAGCCAGGATCTCCTAGACACGCACACTCCTTTCTCCCACCTCTAACCTTGGTACCAAAAAGCTGATGGCCATTAGTCAGTTTGATTTCCTTCACCTTCCATCTGTTTTGTTACTGTTTTTGCTATCAAAGACCCTTCCTTGCTCGCAGCGTCTGACTCCCTCCTGGAGAGACCTTGTCACTGGTAGAGATATCATGTACCAGAACAATGTCAGTGCTCTTCCTTTGTGTTTCTGTGTGGGGCACTCACTCACCTGTGAATGTTTTCCTGAGACATCCATTCAGTGTTTAGGAGGAAGAGATTTTTGGTTTTTTATATTTTAATGAAAGTTTATAAAGAACTTGGATTTCCATTCATTCATTGTTGCACATTTTCCTCCCTGCCCTCCCCCCTCTCCCCTCCCCCAAGTTCACTTTTTTCTTTGGGAAAAAAGTTCTTTATTGTTACACAGTCCCCATCCAACCCGCAGGAAGATCTCTCTACTTGCCTTCGCCGGGGAATAATCTAGGAGGCTCCAGCTTTCCCTTTCTAATCTATCCCTTGCCAACTTGCTTGGCTTTGATACGCCCTATCCCGCATTTTTAAAAAATTTTATTTTATTAATTTTAATGAACATTTACAGAGATTTTGGATTTCCATTCATTCCCATCCTGCATTTATCCATGTCAGGCCTTCACTCAGATTCACCATTCATTTCTTGGCTGCCTGAAATTCGATGTCTAGTGTTTAACCCGAGTCCTCCAGGGTGGTACAGCAAGAGCCAGACCTGTGTAAGGTGGAAACCGCTCAGAGAAGGGAAGCGCAAACCTTTTCCACTAATGGTCATGGACAGAAAGGTGCTAAGATGACCCTCTGTCAGAGGCGTGAAGCCGAGGCTGGAAAGGACGCCAGGGCCCCACTCTCACAGCTGTCACCATATTCCCTGAGCAGCGGTGTTTGAAAATCTGTTGTTACTTTTGTCTAGGAAAACCTGGTTGAATTTACCTTTCTTTTTAACGCTTGACTATCTTCCAGCGTTGAATGTTGCTTTTTAATGTCCTTTTCCTCCATCAGTGCGGATGCGATTATGCTGAATACATGAAACTGCTTTACTGTGAGATTAGAGATTTAGTGATTCCCAAGTATCCTGGCTGCTATTTCCCCCTCCAGTGACCCGGAAAGTTGTTGGCTTCCAACTTCTGTGGAGAATAAAAAAAATCCAGTAATGCTCACACAAGTCAAGTCCCTTGTGTTTTCTTTAGGCCCTTTTGGCAAATATGGCTGCCATGTTTGCCATCTACCACGGCTCCCGCGGACTAAAGCACATTGCAAGGAGGGTCCATAACGCCACTCTGATTTTGTCTGAAGGTGAGTCAATTGTTTTTAAGATACTGAACACATTTAGTCATGGAATGCCTCAAATTTGAATTAGTAAATTTGAAAATTCATAACTGGGTACAAAATCTGTAGTCATGCCAGAAACTTGTGGGGAGAAAGTGTTTTACATCTCTGATCGTCTGAAAGCTAAAGGTTTTTTATTGTCTCTCCCATCTACCCTTCCCAACAAAGATGGCTACTCTGATAGAAAAAAATGGGAACAACTATTCAAAAAAATTTCAAAGTATGATTGAGTTGGAGAGGGGGTGATAGGGTAGGAGAGAAAACAATATCATACAGATTGCCTAATTAGAAGTAGACAAGGTAAAAAAAGGAATATGGACGGCAGATGGAAAGGGAAAAGAAAATGTTTTGTTTTGTTTTTTTTAAAAAAGGAGATATATACAGATAAATTCTTGGCATAGTGAAGTTCTTTGTAAAAGTCCATAGAGGGGGCTTGGGTGGCTTAGTGGCAAGAAGTTATGCTGCAATCCCAAAAGCATATGGTTCAAATCCACCAGATGCACCACTGGAGAAGGAGGGGAGATATACTCTTGTGCCATTTGGATCCAATTTGATGGTACACACAAGAAAAAAGAAAAAAAAAAGGTCCATAGAGTTCATACATACCCCTTCTAGAGGGATAGAAATTAAAACAGGCACAACAGTTAACTTTAGATAGCAGTTATGCTGATTTTCCATTTAAAAATACATGTCATTATTTTCCATAGCCCAGTCATAAGTCTACTTCAGTTGTTGTTTTTAGAAGAAGCACCTGCCAAGTAGCCAGGCCGGGGCCTGGGCCTGGGCCTGGGCCCGCAGAGGAGTGGGCCTGCTTCCTCTGTGATCTGAGAACAGGAGATTCTGGGTAGAGCTTCTTGGTGCCCCTGTCTCATCCAGGTCTCAAGCGTGCAGGGCACCAACTCCAGCATGCCTTGTTCTTCGACACCTTGAAGGTTCAGTGCGGCTGTCCACCCAAGGAAGTCCTGGACAGGGCCGCCCAGCGGCAGATCAACTTCCGGCACTTTGACGATGGGACAGTAAGTCAAAATGCCACTGGTTTTTGGTTTTTATTTTACAAATCCGCTAAAGTCATCTTTTGGTGACTTTCCCCATAAAAAGCTTCCTGTTTACATTTTTGAACATCCATATTGGAAAACTATCTCTGTGTTGGAGATTTGCATCCACTCAATTTTTTCCAATATTTTTATTTCTGATTTGAAACTCTGTGATTTACCTCGAGAGTGATCATTTTCCTCAGTTTTCGTGATAGTGTGTTTTTTTAGGGGACTCTAAAACTTAAATTTGCTCTTAAGATTCCAGTGATCTCTTCACAATATTAAATGTATTGGGCTGCTAACCAAAAGGTGAGGAGATTCGTAGCCATCAGCTGGTCCCTAGGTGCGCCCTACGGCCATTGGCCTGTCCAGAACCGACTTGGTACAGGCAACCACGTGAAGTCCTGAACGGGTCCAATTGGCGAACGTGCTTGTTGTATCACCAGTTTGACCATTTTTTATTGGGTCAGATTGAAGTTTTCCAACCGCTTCTCACCCTTCGAGCTCTCCTGGGGTTTCTCTGATGGTCTTAGAATTGAGAGCGTGTCCTTTTTCTTCTGTATTCATTTCCATAGCTCGGCATTTCACTTGATGAGACAGTCAACGAAAAAGACCTGGACGATTTGTTATGGATCTTTGGCTGTGAGTCATCTGCTGTAAGTAAAAACAAACAAACCACTGCAATCCCAGAGGTATGCCGTTCGAATCCACCAGAGGTATGCCGTTCAAATCCACCAGATGCTCTGCTGGAGAAGGAGGAACAATCTCCTCCTCCTGTACCAGTCAGATCTGATTTGACGGTACACACACAAAATAATAAAATAAAATTAAAAAACAAAACCAAACAAACAACCTCCACCAAAACCTCCATGGGTCTCGCCAAGGTGAAACTCATAGTGACTGTTGGAGGTCCTGTCGAAGATGGCTTCACTCCTTGTGAGCCCGAGTGTGATGGAGAGACTTCTTTATCTCAGGAAGACTGCCCTGAATTTAAGCTCACCGTTTGTTCTGTGCCTTTGACTAGTATTTATGCAGCAGTACCCACTCAGGCCTCTAGATGGTACTATCAGCCTGGGGTGGAAGGAAGAGCGAGCCCTGAATTGCGCTGGAACTGTTCTCCCAGATAAAAGAGCCTTGTCAAGTGAGAATCCTTGCTTGAGTAATGTCCCTCAGTAACTTATTAAATAGCCTTTTAAGATATAATTTTCTTGGCACTTGATTCATTACTCAGTGAAACATGAGGGAAACAGAAATTTTTTTCCAAGTAAAACCTGCACATTCCCCCTTACTCCTGGTGGCACAGGGAGTGGCAGCTCTTGCTATTAACTTTAGTGACCCACCTGCAAAACTTTTGTTTCCTTAAAAATAAAATGAACTTAAAGGTGGAGAATTGATTTGTTGTAGTTTCTCATTGGCTAAAGTCACAGAGCATAGAATACCCTGTACTCCAGACAAGCTCTTCTTTAACCCCATCGTGAATATCCGTCCTATTTCCCTGAGTAATCAGGATCAGTCACACCAGCCAACATATTAACACCCTTCTTTGCCTGTTGAGCTAGAGGCTTGAGCAGTCCCAAGTGGCCAGCTGGCCTTCTCAGTTTCCAGTTCAGTAGAATCACTGTGTAGGGAGAATTCTTCCCTTTGGACCCCCAGGCCCCACACAGTTTAAGAGTCATAGAAACAGGAAACAAGAATTCTGCGAAAGGGCCGCTAGGGTTAATAGCTAGTGGCACTACTCCCATCTCCACTCCTTGGTCCTTGGGTTTGTGCATGCTGGCCGTAGGAGACGTCACATAGTGGAAGCTGGTTTAGAGCACATACAGTGCGTACCCCTGACACTCGTTACCACATCCTAGAAGACGGTGGTGACTTCCTTTGCCCTGTCACCAAACGGGACTTGACTTTGTGAGCCTGAAGTCTGGATGTCTCCAAGTGCTGCTGGTCACATCCCGGCTCTTGAGCTTCTGTGTTCTCTCCATGCAGGAACTGGTTGCTGAAAGCATGGGGGAAGAGGCAAGAGGGATCCCAGGGACTATGTTGAAGAGAACGAGCCCGTTCCTCACGCATCAAGTGTTTAACAGGTTTGTGAAGCTTATGGCGATAGGTCGGGGAGGACAGTCAGGGAGATGTTTCGGACCTCAGCTGCGATGTGATCTGAGATGTGGGCTGAACCATGGCCTGGGACTAGATCACAATGTTATCCGCAGTCCTCTGACTTGTGGTCACCTGTTACTGTGTCCTCACTATGTCATTGTTATGTCTGAGATCATTGTTGTGACCTTGCATCAGTCCATCTTCCCTTGACCCTCTAAAAAACATGATGTCCTTTTCTAGTCATTGGCATCTCTTTATGATGTGTCCAAAGTAACTGAGAGACAGTTTCAGCATGGTCACTTCTGAGGAGCCTGCTGGTTGTATGTCTTGTAAGAGTCTTTATTCTTTCTCGGTTCATGGTCTATTGACTGGTCTTTGGCATCACCACAGTATGACAGCATCAGTTCTCCTCTCCTCCCGGGTTTTTACTGTCCAGCTTACACGTGCATGTAAGGATCTTGAGAAGGCCATGCATAGGTCAGAGGAACCTTAGTCTTCAAATAAGCCAGAGCTCTGAGGATGCTTGGCTTGGGCAAAGGACCCCTTGTTGTCTGTTGGCACTACTCCCTTGGCAAAACCAGGAAAAGGAAATTTGGGTTTATACAAAGTGAAGTTGGGTTTATACAAAGTGAAGTTCACACCTGTGACCTTGAAAGTCTCTTCTCAACCTGAATCTCAGGTCCACTGGAAGCTTTTTGACAGGGAGCTCTCTGAGACTGAGGAAGTTTCCATATTTTCCACCTAATGTGTTATTGGTATGCTACCAATGATCCCATTTGATCTGTATTTGGAAGGTAGAGCTCAAGGCATCTCATCTTTTAGCATGATGTGTATGGACTCATCCAATTTACTTGACCCAAATCCTGTGTTTCATGTTCACAGCTATCACTCAGAAACAAATATCGTCCGGTACATGAAGAAATTGGAAAACAAAGACATTTCTCTTGTTCATAGCATGATTCCACTGGTAGTTATTTATCACCTCTCTTCCCATTTCCAAGCCCCCTCCCCTGACCCTCCTGTCCTTCGGTCACAGCCCATCTGCTCCAGGGGGGATCCGCGGGAGGCAGTGTGGGATGCTCTGAGGCTTGGTGGGAGGACTTGAGGGATTCACTAATGCGATGCCTTGTTTGTGTGCTTCTTAAAGGGATCCTGCACCATGAAGCTCAACAGTTCTTCTGAACTCACAGTAAGTAGCTCACCTCTGTCAAGAGAATAAATAAGCAGCTTTGATGGCATAGTGCCGTATGAATTTGTGTTGCAAACCAAAAGGTCAGAAGTTCCAATCCACCAGCTACTCTGAGGGAGAAAGATGGGCAGTCTCCTTTTATAAAGATTTAGAACCTTGGACACCTGATGGAAAGTCACTGAGTCTAACCGACTGACAGGCGGAAAGTTGAGTTGTTGGAGAATGTGCCGTAAAGACAATTGCCTAGGATAAGCAGGGAACTCAGTAATCACATGCTATGACTGTGAATTAGCAGCTATTTTAAAAAATCCCTTTACACCCTGGTAACATTGTAGTTAAAGACATTCAGCTGCTGAACAAAACTTGGGCAATTCAAATCCAAATCCACCAACTGCTGCAGTGTTGCAAAGATGAGGTCCTCTGTTTCCATAAAAATGATGCCTCGGGATCTGGGCAGATCTGCTCTCTCCTACAGGGTCACTGTGAGTAGGAAAGGCTTGGAAGTGGTGGGTTCTGATAGTCCTTGACTCTGGTCCTTGACAATCTTCAAGGGAAACCCTGATATTTCATTATATGCTTTGTTGGGTAAAATCCCTTTCAAGATAATTACCTACACTGTAATTGTGTCTTCTTAGCTTTCCTAAAAAACAGATAAAAACCCAAAAGAAATTGAAAACCAACCTGCTGTATTTTCAGCTTCTATTGTATCCATTTCTAGCTCTTAAGTTCAGGTAGAATTAAGAGCTTTAAGCTGTCTTTTCAGAAATCCACCCACGGTGCCCGAAGGGTAAAGATTTGAGGTTGAATGCTTTTCTTTGTCTATAGACTGTGTAACTTAGCTTGTGATTGGCAAGTCTCTCCACTAGACTGGGATCTATCAGTAAAGAGAGCTTATTTCTGAGGATTTATGTGGTGTGAGAAATCACAACAGTTCAGCAGCATCATTTTCAAGAGCGATGGGAAGGGTTTCCCCTTTTCCTTTTAGTTTTTTGTCTTGCTCTCTGCTTCCTCCTCTTCTCACCCTGTGCTCTGTAAGAATTTGAATAACCCACAATGGAGACCATGTCTTGAGTCTCATGAATATAAATCTACCTTTGGACTTTGTTTCTGAAAAGACAGAAGCACATTTTCACATGAGCTTCCTTTCTGTCCACTTGGAAAATGAAGATAGCAATAGACCCTACTTCATAAGATTGTGGTGAAACACGATTAGTAACTATGTTAATTTGTTGGTGGTGGTGTGTGCCTTCGAGTTGGGACTGACCCATAGCTGACGCCGGTGGGTTTTCAGAAGCAATGAATTGCGTGGGAGGAGATTGCCCATCCTTCTGCTGCAGAGCTGCTGGTAGATTTGAAACACGTTCCTTTGGGACTGCAGTGCAACTTCTTACTAACTAGGCAACCAGAAAGTAGCCTAAATTAATATACTTATATTAATAAATATACTAATCTAACCTAATAATAAGTGCCTAGAACAGCATAGTACACATAGTAGGTACTTTTCATGTTGGCTGGTACTATCATCCTAAGTTGTTCTCATTGTTATTTCTGTTAAATATATATATTTAAAAAGTTATGTATAATGTCCTTTCCTTTCTTTTTGCCCTTCAGCCTATCACATGGAAAGAATTTGCAAATATCCACCCTTTTGTGCCTCTGGACCAAGCTCAGGGTTACCAGCAGCTCTTCCGAGAGCTTGAGAAAGATTTGTGTGAACTCACAGGCTACGACCAAATCTCGTTCCAGCCTAACAGGTAAGGGGATTTCTGCTAGTGTTTCAGCTGCTAGTGTTGTGTAGCTTCGCAGCCTAGAACTTGGAGGTTATGTTCTTTTCTGGATTGCTGCATTTTCTACAGTGCTGGCTGGCATGGTAGAGGGGTTAGGAAGTCCAAAGGTGACTGAGGGCTCTGAACAAACAAATGAAATATGTTACCTGGAAGTCCTTTTCTGCGAGTAGTCTGTTTTATAGATGATGTGTTTTATGGAAAGCCGAACTTTCAGTATTTTATAAGCCTCATTCACCTGGCTGGCAAGTCAGTGCTGGACTGTTGGCTGGGAGCTTGTTGAGTATTTTGAGTAAGGTCTTCATGTAAATCTTGTTACGTTGTCTCTTGAGCTTGTTGAAAACTGAGTTTTGAGAAGAAGGGTGTGGAAGCTGCAGAGACCTCTCAACACCTGCCCTCTGGAGTTTCACAGCACCATGTGCAGTGTTCCATTGTGTGAAGGAGAGGCATGGTTCATCAGGGGTCATCTGGAGACTTAACAAGGGTGTGAATGGGAGGCATGATTCATCGTGGGCCGTCTTGGGAATGTACAAGGGTGTGAATGGGAAGGACGGTTGCATGGTTCATCATGGAGAAACTAGTTGCTCCCGTAGTCAGTGAGACAGATGATGAGAAGAAGCAAGCATCCATGCTCATTCCTCACAAGCAGCTGAGACTCTAGTGGGGACAGAAGAGAGTTTGGACCCTGCTTAGCTTCTGTCTCTGACTTTGAAAGGTCTCTGTCTCTTGTGGCTTCAGTTTCTTTTCTTTCTTTAATTTTTTAAAATTAAATTTTGTTAATTTTAATGAACATTTACAGAGATTTTGGATTTCCATTCATTCATTGTTGCACTATTTTCTCTACCCTCCCCCCCTGTTCGTTCCTCTTTTTTTTCCCACCCCCTTGGAAGTCTTTTAATTGTCCCATTGCCACAGTGCTTGTCAAAACCAGTTCTGATTAATCTCCTTTGTCATTCCCTATCACTTTTCCTTGAGAGAGACTTCACCCTGATTCATAAGGAAAAGGGGACGGTATATTCTCTTAGCTACTTCCTGCTGAAAAGGGACGCTGTAGGTTTCAGGGTGAAGATCTTCTCTCACTACTCTAAAGGGCCCCTTCGGCAATAGGAAAGACGTAGACTATTGTGGAGATTGATTTTGGAATTTAGATGCACTGTTATCAATTGTGCTTAACCATACATGTTCACATCCTTGAAGATGTATCATGGAACCGTTGCAGCTTAGAAGACACAAATTTAACTAGCAAGTTAAAAGTACATGAGTCGGCTCTCTGCTCCTCGTCGATCCAGATTGCCCTCTCTTCTTGTGCAGCCTCAGCCGCATCCCTGAGACACGATGGTGAAGGTCGGAGTAAAGGGATTTGGCCGTATTGGGCGGCTGGTCACCAGGGCTGCTTTTCACTCTAACAAAGTGGATATTGTCGCCATCAATGACCCCTTCATTGACCTCAACTACATGGTCCATATGTTCCAATATGATTCCACCCATGGCAAGTTCAACGGCACTGTCAAGGCTGAGAATGGGAAGCTGGTCATCAATGGGAAAGTTATCACTATCTTCCAGGAGCGAGAT